AACAAATCGAATGTGATTTAGCGTGGTCTGTACTCTTATCGACAACGAGTACGCGTCATCACAGTGGTCAAAATGTTGTGGACTCACGAGGCGCAGTTTTTTACCACAATATCAAAGATAACGAAAGAAATCTTTGTCAAGATTTGTTGACAAGTGAAAACACCGACTCGGACTTGAAATTACACGCGCTGCACTATGTAAATGACTACTTGTACGCGTCAGACTTTCCTTTCAAAAACTTTTGCAAACTCGCTCAATATGCAGAAACAATAAGAAAAAAATTGTTTGGGAAAAGAGTAATGACGCGTACTCGTTGTCGATAAGAGTACAGACCAAGCTAAACCACATTTCGATTTGTTTTTTTACCACAATATCAAAATTTTAATTTATGCAAGCTTTCAAGTTTAAATTTCAACTGTCAAACTGTCAACTTTTTAACCAATGAGATTTTATGGACTTTTCTAAGTAGACAATCAAAAAGCGAGTAAAGCTATTGACAATGTTCGCGTTAATTTGAATAGAATTAACTTATCCTTGTTAACGGCAAGTTTACGGCGTCTTTTTCCCTTATTTTTCCCCGGCATTTGACCATTTTGGGGTCTTGTTATTGTAAAAACCAAATTGACGTCAGTTTGTTATGCGTCTGTCCTTTTATTGATGATAAATTGGGTCATAACATTGTCAAAGTTTATTGCGGAACCACAGCCACTTTGACAATGTTATGACCCAGTTTATCAATTATAAGAGGACAGACGCATAAAAAACTGACGTCCATTTGTTAAGTTTAGGGCTAGTTTACGCGTCTTTTCCCCTTATTTATTCCCGGCATTTGACCTGTTTGGGGTCTTGTTATTGTAAAAAAACAAATTGACATCAGTTTTTTACGCGTCTGTCCTCTTATTGATGATAAATTTCGTTCCACAGCCACTTTGACAATGTTATGACGCAATTTATCATCAATACGAGGACAGACGCATAAAAAACTGACGTCAATTTGTTAAATCGACAACGGCAAATTAGCCAATCAGATTGCGAGATTAGCAGCAATTGTGGTAAAAATAGAATATAGAATTCAATGTTTATTCGCTACGCGCGATTAGCGGCGCCATTGAACGGCTTTTGAAGAGGCCAGCACATAACTCATTAATCTCGCATTCAATAAAAGCAAAAATACCAGATCAACTCTACTGTGGAATCAAATATGAACTATTTAGGCTATCTAGCTAGTAACGTGCGATAGACGCCTTTAGTTGAGGGACTTAACCATGTAAGAACATTTTAATGGAAAGTAGAAGAGACTGAAACATCCAACAAAGGCAGGATTGCGTTGACCTGCAAGTGCACTATTTATCGGGTCTGGAGTTACCTGTCCCTAGTTCCTGTTGGACCACATGCGCCGTTGGTGTGAGTACTGTTTTTATTTCCTGTTGTATCACGTGATCCCTACCTTCATTTCCTGTTGGGTCGGCGTTAGAAACTGGTTCTCCTGAACCCATGAAACGCATTATTGTTCCGGTGAATATTTCTTCCATTATTTTCATCATCGATTGAAGAACTTTATTGGCGTCGTTCCTATCAATCAGCACCTAGAAATAGTAATTTAGATTGCACCAGTTTTTGTGTTACTGACTTTCCTTAGAATCCAATGAACAAGTCCGAGCTAAGACAACACTGAAGACAATTTTTTTTCCCCTGAATGTTATTTAGACTAGCGGTGTAAAGGTGTTAGAGAATTAAAGCATGACGTTTACGGCAGACGGCAAACGGCAAAGATTACCTCTGATGTTTTATTCTTTTCTTGTAATCCTTAAATAAATCACACAAAACTAGAAAAATTTCTTCTACTATTCACTGCAAATACAGATATTTTCACTCTACTGTACAGACAGCTGAAGACACACGGCAAAAGTTTCATTTTTGCCGTTTGCCGTTTGACGTAACGTCATGCTTAATCTCTCTGTTTCCTCTGGCCACAAATCCAAATAAGACATAGACGACAGTGTATTTCAACATAGTCAGCATTCACTGCAAATGATGATCTCAGTTGGAATAATGGCTCTGATTTTCTGTTCAAAAGATTCCAATAACACATTTTATCGTAGATTAGATATTTGTCGTGTCAGGGTTTTGAGGCTCCATGTCGCATAATGAAGCAAAATCCTGGGAACATGATTGTTGGACTGTTCAATGTTCCCGCAGCCAAGTCTACCAGCTTTACACAATAACAACTGTAAACGAGTGCAATAGCTACGTGCTTACAGTCGTCCTAAGATAAGGTATTTACTGACCAATCAGAACGTGCGCACACCTGTTTTTCTCCCCACTGGGCTTGTGGTAACCCTTCTAACTCAGCTTTTAAGCGCTTCCTCTCAGCCTCGTGCCAGCTCAACAGGTCACGAATACTATCTGGATCCAAAGTTGTACTTCTTGTACCAGAGGGAATATAAACAACGCCTTGACGTTTGGTTTGAGGCAAAGTCTTTAATAAGTCTGGCACTAGAGACGAAGGTTTATAGCAATGGAGAGCGTCTTCGTTATCGCCAGCGAATGAAACACGGCGAGAGAGCTCTTCCATCATTTGAACTCTTAGATCTGCTGGCTTCTGATCACTTGAAGCTCTTCTTGGAAACTTGACTCGTGGAATAGGAAGTGGGG